AGGGACTTCTCCGAATGTAACAAACTGATGTACCTGGTAGTCAATGGAAAGTAATTCAGTTATTGATTATATTTGTCTTTTGAATTTACAGACAATGTGGTCCAAATTTACAATGTTCAACTATATTTATTTTTTCAAGACCAGAAGTGACGTATGGTATGAATAGATGAATGAACGAACAAATGAATAGATGAACGCACGAATGAATGAATGATGTATGAAATGAAGTTGGTTACCGTTTGCATGTTTGCAAATAAAGACTGCTACAAAAAAAATCACACGTGATCGTCTTTTCTGTTTTTCGCTCTCTTAAAATCAAGACATGGCACATATCCATTTTCCGTCCATCAACTTGTTTGCTACATCGTGAAACTGAGGTACCTAAATCACTCTATCATATTGTCTACCTAAATAATAAACCATTTTTAGCTCTGAGGGCCACAGTGACCAAGTGGTTTAGGCGTCTGACATTCTGCTATCACTAGCCCTTCACCACTTGGTCGCGGGTTCGAGGCCTACGTGGGGCAGTCGTCAGGTACTGGCCGTAGGTCGGAGGTTTTTCTCCGGAAACTCTAGGCTTTCCTCCACCACCACAAACCTGTCACGTCCTTAGATGGCCATGGCTGTAAATAGGACGTAAAACACAAACCAAAATTACTAGCACAAGGTGCATCTGTGCTGATGGTATGGCATCATTTATATTCTCCACACACCCCTGGAAAATGTTGCACGACAATGGAACGTACATGATAGCTATTTTATTGGTAAAAAGCTGACCAATCACTAGGCTGATACCAGAACCCGTTCTTTAAACTCAAAGAGGAGTGACACCCCACTTCAAAGCCAGTCAATTTTACCTTTACATTGCCGTGCAATTCTTTTGATCTACATCAAAGGATCAAACTAAGCTACTTGTATCATCCACAAGCCTTGCACTTTGTTATGACATATTCCAGGGATGCAGAAAATGTAAGTGATCATGACCCCTGAAATTTCGAGGATAGTAGCATGGTGCAGCATATTTCATGCATGTCTGTCAACACCTTTTTTTGAAGAACTGATGTACTTTGGGTGGAGTGCTGTACAGTTTCCTAATGTAAACGACGGCATTTAGCAATCATATTTGGTTACTAGAGTATAAGATATACAAATGCAGACCAGCAGTGAAAATCGTTTTTAATGTATTGTGTTAAGGTCAAAGGTCAACTTTTAGTGATAGCTAAAGTTTAATGTTAACATTGGCTAAGTTGGTAGAAAAAGTTAAGAGCCTTCCTGTGCAGTTCCATTAGGCCCAGGGTCCTGATTGTTAGCCAGTTGTTACCTGGTAAAAAGAGTGCTATTAAGTTTTCTCATACAAATGACCCTAATTTGTACCTCCAGGGTCAATATCAGCCAAAGTTTTCTAAAGAGTCAAAAGTTTGACAACTGACAAGGGTTAAAATTGGCAAAAGTTGGCATATCATGGGTTTAAGAATCATTTTTTCAATTCCATAATAAGGTCCAGGGTCATGACTAAAATAGGCCTTAGTTCTGATAGTCCCACCATATAACCATATATGCTTGCAATCGCTTAGCATGAAGTAAACAACACATGTATGCTACTAAGATCAGGCATGGTATATTGGCCTGCCTCTGGGGGTTTAGTTTGTTGCGTTTATGTTGATATTATTTCGATCTTAACCCTATATATAAATGTAATCATATTCACATGTGTACCGATCTCGGACATATTTACTCTGAAACATACTAACCCTTTCACCCCTATGTAACTTCAGTAAACTCGTCCATGCATTGCTTTTGACGAGTCCAGCTTGGTCTACAGTGGTGAAAAGGTTATTTTGGTCCATGAACTTTCCTATCCAGGTGAGACATACATGTCCCATGGGCCTGTTATTCATATTTTGGAATGAATTACAGTACATATCAAACAATAATCCAAAGGAATTTAACAGCATTATTAATGAAATTACTCAGAACGAACCCAGAAAAGTAACAGAAGGAATGAATCATGCTTATATTAGCGATTTTCATTTACCACAAATTGCGTCCAACTTCATTTAGCCCCCAACCAGACCCATGTTGGTAACACTAAATTGGAACGGGTATCTTTTACATTCACTTAAACCTATTAATGTCATTTGCCACTATAACAAAATGTATTGTATAAGAATTGCAGCATAACTATATGCAAAATGCTCAAAATTGGTAATTCTTACGGATTAAAAGTGCTGTCAATGACAAATGAGTTCTCATGGGGTATTTTTAACAAGGTGTGTCCCTGATAAAATACTAGCCACTTCTTACCGACTTCGCTAGGGAGAATTTCTCTATAGCTCATTCGATACAGTGTAAGATTAGTAAACCAGAGGTCCGGGGTTAAATTCCTAGCGGAGGCATTAAACAAACAATGACCTCTGTTACAAAGGGGATCCCCGTATCAAGAGGAAAATAATAATGATAGTGACATCCTGTTTTTCAATCGGTTCCAAAATCGATATGCATTTTAGTAAAGACCACTGGGAACCTGCATGTATACATTCGAGAACTACCTCTCCAGTACTTTCTGAGAATTCGAAACAGTGCTAAAAACATCTAACGACCGTGTTGGGTTTCCCATCAGTACCAAAAATAAACATGGATAAATGGTGACAATGGGTAATGTTCATGTGAAATTTGAGAAAGATCCCTCCCGTATATTCCGAGAAAAAGCTCTAGCAATCTTTACCTCTAAAAATATGAGATAGCCAACAGGCAACCATTTCGGTTTTCCCATCAGTCCTTAAACTCAATATACTTAGCTAGGGTCCGTGGGACACTTTCAATCGAAATTTGAGAAATATCCCTCCATTCCTTTCTGACATATATGGCCCTAATAAACTCTCACTCTCCAAATGCAAGATGGCCACCTGTCAGCCATCTTTTTTCCCGCAATCAGTCCCAAAATTTGAAATGCAACAACGAGGGACCATGGAGAACCTTCATGTGAAATATGAGAAATATTCCTTTGGCCCGTTTTGAGAAATAGCGCTAACAGTTTTTAACTTTTAACTCTAGAAATTCAAGATAGCTACCTGTTGGCAATCTTTGCTCTCCAACCATGGCAAGTAGAACCAAGGAACATGCGGAACTTTTTATGTGGAATTTGAGAACGATCTCTCTTGTACTTTTTAAGTTAATTATAATATATCACATACCATAAGACTTCTCCAAGTATGTAATCTTTAATGTCTGTGGGTTTTCAGGTGTATACAGTTAGATTATTAGACTAAATAATTCCTTGCCTCAGACATCACACATGTACGGCTTTTCTCCTGTATGTTTCCGGAGATGACTACACAGATGACCTGGTCAGGGAAACCCCTCAGTACATATCTCACATGTACACCTCTAAAGGTTTTTTCTTGTATGTAATTTCATGTATATCTGCAAGCTAGATTCCATACTACAGATATCACACGTGTATGGCTTCTCTCCTGTATGTACTCGTCTGTGTGTCTGTAGTTCAGATTATTGAGAAAATTCCTTACAACAGATATTACACTTATATGGATTCTCTCCAGTATGTACTCGTCTGTGTGTCTGTACGTTAGATGATTGAGAAAATTCCTTACTACACACATCACACTTGTATGGTTTCTTCTCTCCTGTATGTACTCGTCTGTGTGTCTGTAGGTTAGTTGATTGAGAAAATTCCTTACTTCAGATTTCATACTTGTATGGCTTCTCTCCTGTATGTACTCGTCTGTGTGTCTGTAGGTTAGATGATACAGAGAATTCCTTTCCACAGATATCGCACTTGTATGGCTTCTCTCCTGTATGTACTCGTCTGTGTCTCTGAAAGCTCGATGATTGAGAAAATTCCTTACTACACACATCACACTTGTATGGTTTCTTCTCTCCTGTATGTACTCGTCTGTGTGTCTGTAGGTTAGTTGATTGAGAAAATTCCTTACTACAGATTTCACACTTGTATGGCTTCTCTCCTGTATGTACTCGTCTGTGTGTCTGTAGGTTAGATGATACAGAGAATTCCTTTCCACAGATATCGCACTTGTATGGCTTCTCTCCTGTATGTACTTGTCTGTGTCTCTGAAAGCTAGATGATACAGAAAATTCCTTACTACACACATCACACTTGTATGGTTTCTTCTCTCCTGTATGTACTCGTCTGTGTGTCTGTAGGTTAGTTGATTGAGAAAATTCCTTACTACAGATATCGCAATTGTATGGCTTCTCTCCTGTATGTACTCGTCTGTGTCTCTGACAGCTAGATGATACAGAGAATTCCTTTCCACAGATATCGCACTTGTATGGCTTCTCTCCTGTATGTACTCGTCTGTGTCTCTGACAGCTAGATGATACAGAGAATTCCTTACTACAGATATCGCACTTGTATGGCTTCTCTCCTGTATGTACCCGTCTGTGTCTCTGAAAGCTCGATGATTGAGAAAATTCCTTTCTACATATATCACACTTGTAAGGATTCTCTCCTGTATGTACTTTTCTGTGTGTCTGTAGGTCAGATGATTGAGAAAATGCCTTACTACAGACATCACACTTGTTAGCTTTCTCTCCTGTATGTATCCTGTGATGTCTACGGAGATGATATGATCGGGGAAACCCCTTAGTACATATCACACACTTGTAAAGGTTTTCTCGAGCTCCTGTATGTACTTTTTTGTGTGTCTGTAATCTAGAAGATTGATNAAACCCCCGACCCATAGTTGGGGTAGGTATTTTAATATTGTATATGATCATGTAAACAAGTGGTAATTGATAAGGATAATTGTATTCAATATATATAGATGTATAAGTAAGTTCTACTATTGCTTATGATGAAGTCAGTTATAGTAATGTTCAAGCCTTATTCCTATTTTAAACAAGCAAGTTCGTGGAATTTGTATCCCCCGCTTGCAGGACTATTGTAGGTTAACATTATTGAGGTTAGGTTTAAATATGTGAGTATCGTGCTGTTGAGAAATAATGTATAACTTGAAACTTGAAGAAAGAACAAAAGCCCTATACCTCATTGATTATCAGTAAATATGCACAAATCACATGGGTTGACAAAATTAGCATGAGTCGGATGTGCATACGGATTTTGGTTGAAACATCTGAACAATATCTACAGCATTTATCACAGTGCCCAAGATGGATGGAAAGACAGAGGAACACAAACATTATTATCAAGATTGAAGGAATTTGGCTAGTATTTGCTAGAGTTATAAAGCGGAAACTGAAAATAATGACATTTTTCATTAATCAAGGGGCCATTACTCTGCCAAATGGAGTCCGAATAAAGTGGTTGTCAAACTTAGCCGAGCCCTTAAGACATTTAACCCTGTGACCAAGTTTGAAGAAAATCGGTTAACATTTGTTGTAGTTATTGCACGGAAACGAAGCTGGGCAGATAATGACGTTTTTCATAATTCAAGGGGCCATAACTCCACCAAATGGGGTCAGCTGAAAGTGGTCATCGAACTTAGCCGAGCCCTCAAGGTATTTAACCCTGTGACCAAGTTTGAAGAAAATCGGTTAACATTTGTTGTAGTTATTGCACGGAAACGAAGCGCGGCAGTTAATAACGTTTTTCGTTATTCAAGGGGCCATAACTCTGCCAAATGGGGTCAGCTGAAAGTAGTCATCGAGCTTGGCCAAGCCCTTAAGGCATTTAACCCTATGACCAAGTTTGAAGAAAATCGGTTAAAACTTATTATAGTTATTACACGGAAACGAAGTGCGGCAGTTAATGACGTTTTTTGTTATTCAAGGGGCCATAACTCTGCCACATGGGGTCAGCTGAAAGTGGTCATCGAACTGTTACTTAGTTTGAGGACGATTGGATAATATTTGCGAGAGTAAAGGAACAGAAACGGCAAAAAGTGACATTTTTCATTATTCAAGGGGCTATGTATACCTCCGCCAAATAAAAGTCTGCTGAAAGTGGTCATAGAACTTGGCCGAGCCCTTAAGGCATTTAACCCTGTGACCAAGTTGGAGAAAATCTGTTAAAATTTGTTAAAGTTATTGCACAGAATTATTTAAAACAATATTCAAAAGTGTTAGGTATGCAAAAACTGACGCCGGTGTCTGAGAATTAGAAATACAGTTTCTGCTAGTTTGAATGGGATATCAGGCATCTGCATTAACCATATAAATTCATCTACAGAATTTAAAACCATTGTCAGTTCTTTATATCAAAGTTTTACTTTCTTCTCACACAATGCACTATTCAACCCCTCTAAATGCCTAAAGTTTTGGACTATGGCCTGTCCATAGTTAATTCTAATATCTTCAATAAGATTCATCAGTTTGGAAATACACGTATGTAAAATCAAGTTTTATTTGATAAAAGTACAAGAGGCCAAGAGGGCCTGTATCGCTCACCTTGATACCTAAGCAATCATGGCAAAATATTCTCCAAATGAGATCCAAGGGAATATGCCAGACCCCAAGGCCCATCCTAGTAGCATATCTGTATTAGATTTGTCATGCCCAGCAATTTTATGTATGGTTATGGGGTGGGGATCTCAACTGTTTCCAAGCTGTGACTCAGAAACTAGGTCCCTAAGATTGTGGCCAGACCCCAGGGTCAATTCTAATATCATGACTGCATTTTTCTCTTTATGTCCAACAATTATATATATAGTTTTGGGGTGGGGATCTTAACCATTTCGAAGTTATGACCCAGGCGTTAAGTCTCGAAGGGTGGGGCAGTCCTCAAGGCCATCATGGAAGCATATGTGCATTCATCTCTTTAAACTAAGCAATTGTATATATGGTTATAGGGTGGGGCTCTCAACTGTTTCCAAGCTGTGACTAAGAAACTAGGTCTCTAGGGTTTCGGTCAGACCCCTGGGTCTATTCTGATATCATGACTATATATAGTTTTGGGGTGGGGATTT